AACCTTTGAATAAACATATAAAAGCTTTAACCCGCGAGCACACGCACCGATCCGACGAACACGAGAACACGCGCCGGGTATGTCATACCCGAATAAAAAGTTTGTAATTAAAAATCGGTTTTTAATAGAAATTAAAATGTAAGACCAAGTTAATACTTCATTTTAGACAAAATATGAAAGAATAAGGAGAGGTAAAATTATTTACTTACAATTTTTTGAACATTGTTTACAAAATGAGGTCATATGTTCCATACATATACTTTTGCTACAATTTTCACAAATGAATCTAGTCTTTCTATCTTTTTTCTTGGGGCACTCTGTCACCTCATGTAAGTAATTTTATGTTTTTTGGGGCGTGGTTCATTGTTAATACGTTCATCGGTGGTCAGTGTTTGTCTAGAATCAGGAACTACAGATGCTCGTCGTCGTTCATTTTAAACACTTTCTATTAGCTGCATCCCTAAGGCTTTGAGAAAAGTACGCCTGGTACGGCATTCCGTTGGTGGTTTCCTTCTTTAATAGTAGAAATATTCTTGCATTAATGGCAGCCACGTTTAACACTGAAAAGAAAAAATTCACCATAGGCCATCGATGTGCTACTCTTGCTGTAGAATACACAGCTGCCATCTCATCTACAACATCGACCACTCCTTTTGTCATGTTATAGAATGTAATGATTTCGGGCTTTTTAGATTCCCCAGTAGATTCATCGATTTGATCGCCGGAAGTGCATTGTGGATAACAGGATCACAACTCTTATATTTTTTTCAGGCACATAAGATACAAGTGTTGCTTCTTTATGAAAACCGAAAATTGAAACTCAGGGGGGATTTCTCTCTTATTTTTACACATAGTACTAACTATTGTAATAATTTTCTTCTTAGGAGATCTTGAGATAATTCATATGCCATATACCAATTATCAACTATTAAATTTCGACCAGAACTGTATAAGAACCCTATTAAACATTTGACAACTTTGCTTACACCATTACTTGAAATGGCCCATTTGGTTGTTTACCGGCATAAATTTTCATATTACAGGTATAAAATACCATTGCGTCTACAAGAGCAAATATTTTTATGCCATATTTTGCTGGCTTGTTGGGCATATATTGTTTGAAGGAACAACGACCTCTGAATGATTCCATCTTCTTATCAATGGTCACATACTCTCCTACAGTATAAGCCTTTTGGCAATTTGTGACAAAATTTCCAAAAAATTCTCTGATCGGAGCTAATTTATCAACGTCTCTTCTACTGGAACGATCTTAATGTCATCAAACGGAGGCATGTAAACGAAGAGGAATCGGTTCACTGACATTGTTCCCGAAATATGTCCATTCCCGTTCTGTCTGTTGCCCACAAATCTCTTACGTTCACATGGGATGATTTATAAACTTACATAAATACAGATATCCATTAAAGCTTTGATTTCCAACTCATTTGTTGCTTTCGCATCCCGTTCACTAGTGAAATTTCCACGTACTGAATCAATTAAATATTTGTATTGTCGACTACATGTTTTAACATATCTTCATCGATAAGCAGTGACCAGAATCTAAAGTGTTGAGACGTTATTAGCTACTTCGTATTTCCAGGGTTTAATATAATATTTTTGGCGCCAATTCTAACATTAGTCCGGAATTTATTTTTGTTCCATTTTACTCCCTTTTTTCCAACATAAAACTCATTGCTACATTCCAAAGTTTCATTTTCTGTTTCCTGTGTGGGGGGGGGTATTTAATTATGGCAAAGCACACTAGGGCTATCTGCCTAAGGGGAGGGATGCCTTAGTGGAGGACTTTCTAAGGGAAACTGGCTCGTATACATGTTACACATGGGGAAAACCACGAAAACGCCCATTTAGCCAGCTTGTTCGCAGGATTCGAACCTCGGACCAAACTACCAGTGTTCAGCGAATTTACCGCTCGGCCGCTGGTAGGCCTTTCTGTTTCTGTATTTGAATCACTACTCTCTATGGATGAATCATGATTACTATTATATTCTTCGTCATCAACATCTTCATCGTCTTCACTAAATGAATCCTCATCAGAAGAAACTGTTTCAAGAAGATTTCTCAATCTTTTCATCTCTTCATTGTAAGGAATATACGGCACCATGCTTACAACTCAAGAAAAACCTATATTAAAAGCTTGAAAACGAGAAGTGCGAAGTGACTCACTGAGAAACGCGAGTACACGCGCGGGTATGACATGCCCGATCAATGCTGTTCCTAAAAACCCGTTGCACCTGTCACCTCAGGAATTTAACCCATTTAATTAAGTATGTGACCTTGAACTCAGCTACACCAAGTTTCGTCCTTTTATGAAAGAATGGGGCAGAAATATACAAAAAGAAAAAGGCACATGGGTATGACATACCCGTTGCGTGTGCTCGCGGGTTAATATTGTTTCACTTGAAGCAAGTCTGGTTAAAAACGAAACAGCATTTATACCGCCTTTAATGCTATTAATAAAGCACAAAACGAAATTTCCTAAATCAATGCATTTTATTTCTTTATTAAATAATAAGTTCATTTCACAAGGTAAAATGTCATCTACTTCCAAAGAGTAAATTTCCTCCTTTATGAAGTACTGCAGAAATAATACAAAAACCATATGTTGCGGACGTGTCTGTAACGAGGGCAGCATTTCGCAGTGGAAGAACAATGTCAGCATTTAGAAGCGGAAGGAGAAGTTTCGGCTTCCTGTGCCAATTAGAGAACGTTTTATCCTGGTCTATTTTTTCGGCTTTTAGCGCAGAGAAATTTTTGTCTGAAGACTTAATGACCAAAAGCTCTTTATAGTTAACATTATATTTCTTGCTGTCTGACAAATAAGCCGCAAATGAAAGGAGCATGAGAAAAAATAAACATAATAAATCACTGCATAGCGGTATTTAAGTAGTAAAAGTCCTCATTACAATTATTTTTACTACGGCCAACAAGGCAAACAACAGTGTTGCAAGTAAAATTTTCTTTCTTTATCAGAGTTTCCTAAATGTGCATTATTTTAATTTAGTATCTGATATTTAGATCATTAACTGATGTTAGCAAAGTTTAAAAAAGTAATTTTGCGAGTTTGCTCATGGCAAAATACATTTGAAAAATGCAGACAAATAAACAAAATAAAATTGTGCAATAATTTGTGGAATCTTAATCTTTTCGGGAGCATAAAAGTGTAGATCCTGCTGAAGACGAGATAGCGAATTTTCGTCATGTCTTGAAAAACAGATAACTGCCGACGAAGGTTAAAGGAACCATTTTATTATAACTAAACTGAACAGAATTTGCGCATACTCGGTCCTTTCAACTAACCCTCTCTTGTGGCTAAGCAACGTATGTTTGCCAGCAGAGAAATTCATATAACATTTCGTAATTTTTCTGGCTATCTGCTAGTTGCGTGGCTGACACGAAATGTGTCTTATTATCCTGACAAGAGTGAAGTGCTAGGTCTCACAGCTTTCTTGCTTGACTAGTCAAACCTTGCTACCAACTAAGTAATAAGCACATGCCTCATTTTAAAATGTATACTGATTATATGCTATTAAAAATTAACTTTTCTTCATTAGATGACAGAAGATTTAAGTAAAATTATCTTATTTTGCAATCGTTATACCTTGAATTCTGGGATCACTAGACGTAGTATTTTCTACAACGTTACAAACCAGGTATTCTTCAATAAGATCAAACAATTGACACTGCTGTTATAATAGTGATAATGGTGATGAAAACTTCTGTGCTTGCATTTGTGCACTGAGTAAATTAAAAAATAATTCTTATCTATTTTGAAAATATTTTTCAAAATGCTGATTTGTTAAAGATTTGCATATACACGTTTAACGCTGCTGAAACTAGAAAGGAGTTTTCCCTGATACTCTGAAATTGAATGACAATGATTGATGCACGACTAGAGACATAAACTCGATTGTAGATTGGTAAAGTGCATTTTTATGGGACTGGCAATCTTAATTCATATAAGTGCCCCATTTGAGGTCCGGATAATATAGATGTGTTTCAGTAGAAATCTGTTCATTCATCAAATAATCAGTTTTGTTTTCTGCATCATTTATCATTTGTCCCCACATGTCATCATCTGTCCCTTTTATATTTCTGTTCAGGAAAACAACGCATGAAGAGCACATTACTTTCCAAGATTTGCTGCATGTTGGGTAATGCATGTTATTGTTCGGCTATTTTGTTTCACAGATTCAATTTCAGATACCATATTATGAAAGTAGGAGCTTTACTGTACAGGATTACTGTCACAGTCGTTATCATTCAGACTAGACTGATTTTGTCTGTACACTGCGGGCATCTAAAATGTCTGCTAAAAATATTTTCTTGCAATTGAAATTTAAACCTCCATGCTAAAAATGAATGTCAGTCAAGCCTAAAATTTATTCAGCTCCTCCACATCAAGTATTTCCCAAAGGAAGGGAAAAAGATAAGGATTTGAATGGAAGATTTCTTCATAAAATGGTTACATCATGGATATATAGCTCACACATTATAGTTTTAAATGATGCGACTGTTTAAAAAATTAATATTTGTCTCAAAAGACTTTCATTTCAATACTTGTTTTCAGATGAAATTTGAGAAAGGAATCCTCAATAGTTTTATGTTATCGGAAGCATTAACTGATTTTTAGTATTAATTTTCATGGTAATATTATAAAACACATGATTTCCTTTCTTTTATGTATTATTTTATAATTTCATCAGTTTACATGTCTGCAAATATGCATTTTTCGCGAAAAATTACATCATTATATTCTTTCTTTCTTTGATTTTTAATACTTTAATTTGTTTTATTCAATCCCTAAACATGATTGATAATATGATATAGGTTCCCTAAATATGATAGAGGCTCCCTGAATATGCTTAAGAAAACTTTTTGTTTTCAGCTTTTTATTTTGTATAATGTATAAATTTTCATATGTATGCATGTATGAAAACATGCATACACATATATCTCATTTCATTCTTTTTTTCCTTTAGGGTTGAAATTTCGGATGGAGGCCAGTTTGAATGTAGAGCCTTAAACGAATATGGTGTTGACTCGTTCTCTTCTATAGTTCATGTCAGGGGACCTCCATCTATCCGACCCATTAGAAACAGAACGGCTGTCGCAGGGGATTCCTTGATTGTCCACTGCCCGATATCCGGCTATCCTATTCATTCTATTCGGTGGATGAAAGGTAAGTGAAATGAAAGAGCTCTTAATTACCAAAGTCTCGGAAGACGGATTTCCCACCGCGGTGAAGAGATGCGAATATATACATGAGCAGACCAAACTCTGCATTCAGATTTGAAATGATGAATTAAGCTAATTAGGACGAAGAAGGGACGATGGAATGCTGAATTTATTCCAACAATTCTAGACAGTCGCTCTCTTGGTAAAATAATGAGGCTAATGAACATGAAAAACTTATATTTGGATATTCATTAAGTCAGCTATTCAAGTATGTTTTAAGTGCAATGTCACATATAAAGAGCTAAATAAGGAATTTTTGAGAAAACAAGCAGAAAAACGAAACATTCATTGTATTTAGAAAAGGAAAATAAATAGTTAAAACTGTGAGTGAAAAAAATAAAGCAAATTTGAAATCAGTCTCAATTCTGCACATATAGATCAACTGATGAGTCGCTGATGCATCTGACATAAACACTTACTTAAAATCTTTGGTGTTATACTGTATTAAGACCATAAAAGTCTTCTTTTTAAACACCTGCAAGAAAGCAAAATAATTTTAGGGTTTTTATACGACTATTTCACATACAAGTCTTTATTCTTTTCAAAATGTTTCATAGCATTACATACATACATACATACATGGGGATCTAAATCAAATGGAGAAAACAAACATGTAGAATATTCGAAAGGTACAGACTGTATAAAGATTCGATTTTTACACAAATGCAAAGAAAGACATGAGTGATTTTTTTTTTTTTTTGATTCCAAGTCAAAATGTTACTACGTGAATTTGTGTGCATTTCTGCGTGTGTCCTTTTTCTTCTAATAATCTTCCCCACCCTCTCTTAATAATCTCTTAATAAACTTCTAAAACTCCCTCTTAAAGAACTATCATTAGCATTATGCTTCTTTCTCATAGTCGGTTAGTGACTGGAAGCTATACCTGTTCAATCTTTAATGAAGTTTCCGGTGCACCCAATTCTTTTACTTGTACCTGTGCCACTGTAGTTTTGCGAAAACTGTGTCGTGTTACTGCCTATGCTTTTTGTTTGGACTATTGAATTATTACTTCTCTGCTTACTTCTGAATCACTCGGTATATATATATATATACCGAGTATATAGTATATAGTATATATATATATATACTAGTAGTATCACTCGATATACCTCATATGCCAGAGCAAACACATTTTTCGGAGACAGCTGGGCGTACTCCGACATGCTCAGCGTCCATCACATGGAACTGCTGGATAGGATACAGTTTGGTGTGGACAATATTGCGAATTTGTACAGGTAACCTGCAAGGCAGTCATAACCTGTTTCTAGTCTGAAGGCAGCAACATCATGCCATATTTAAAAATCTTTTCATGAGTCCCTTTCCAAGCTTTATCATCAATAAATTCAGATAATTTTGCCTGGTAGGTTTTATTCAAAGTATTTTTCATTATTCTATTTATTGAAGAGTATGGGATCGCTTTTTGTGTGGGTTGCAGAAACCTGCGCCTTATTTGCAAGAAGATCGAACATTTCATCCCTGTATGAGAAGTATCTATTACTATGTGAAGGTATCCATTGCATTACAATATTCATTTTAAAGGTTAGCAGTAACCTGAAATTTTTTTCACGGCTTTTAAGTCGTCTCTGAGAGTCTTGATAATCCAAAGGTGAAACTGCTTGGATTGCTGAGATGAAATCCAAGAGTACAACGACATTATCAAAGTCTTCCTTTCTTGTCAATGGATGTTGATTGGGCATGACATAGCTAATAGCTTCACCGTCAAACGGCGAGGTATTTGGCCCTAAAGTGACGTATAAATTGCATATATATATAAAGTAAGAAGAATGTTTAAAAGCTAATGCTAAAAATACATTTGACATTATAGTTCCTTAGCAAAAATGTAAAATTATGTAGCAATAACAAACATTCGTGAAACTCTTTGGTGAAGGCCTTGTATAGAAGCGATAACTACTGAAAAACTCACAACTATGTTTTGTGTATCTACATGTTTTCTGAATTAAAGTGCAATGCCTCCACATGACTTTTACATATGACGAAATGATATTATTAGAAACCATTTTTTCTCTTAATATTTAACGTTAATATTTTGACAGTATGTTTGAAATGCATGGTTTCATTTTTTGTATTTGAGTTTTCGAAAAATAATTTTTATTTTAGACTTATCATAAATTTAGTTCTTTCGATTGATTATGCATATAAGTTTACGCCGAAGTATGGGGCGATAATAAATATTTAGAGAAAGAAAATCTCTCAAATATATATAAAATAAGTCCTCTATTTCATGCCCGTATTAATTATTTTAGCATTGTAAGAAACTGAAATTATCTTCGAATAAGGTATAAAAAATTTATTTAAAACAAAAATTCAATAGAATAAAACATTTGGAATAGTTAAAATGCAATAAAAATAACCCTCATAAAAGTAATTCGTTTCTGAAATTATAACACAATGGTTTTATTGCTATTACTCAATATTCAAACATCAATTTAAAGAATAGGAAAGCAGACTAAAGCATAGCAAGCATCTAAAGCACACTAAAGGATAGGAAAAGTCATCTATGATAAATTCACGTATGAAATATTTAATAGAAACATCTATTTGTAAAGCATGCTGCATAGGATATCTGTATGCAAATGCTCCATGCACCTTTAAAACCATCTAAAAGTTACCCTTAGAAATCTTTTTTTTTTTTTTTTTTGCATTTGCATATTCTTGAGGCTAAGAACATTCTCCCTGCGAATAAAACGAAAAAAGGAAATCGAGACCAAATCATTTAAGGCAGGGTACCATCCATCAAATTTCTTACGTTGTTCGTGATTTTTCCTGCTTCCAGGCAACCGCCAGCTTCCTCTGGGAAGGCGCCAGAAGGTGTTCACTAATGGAACTCTGCTCATCCAAGGGCTAGATGGCATTGAAGACGAAGGCAAGTACCGCTGCCAGGTGGAGAATGATGAAGGCATCAAAGCTTCCGTTGACGTCTTCCTCAAAGTTCTAGGTAAGTTGTTGGTTGGAACCTTGTCTTCCTGATCACGATATGGCTGGAAAAATGGTATAGTGTGCTTTGTGTCAGAACATGATTCATCTTTTACAATTTTTAGTTTGTAACCAATTCTCTGGAACTTTATGTAAGACAGTTACATGCATAAATAGAATGTAGCTAAAAAGCGTCAGCGGTTTATGAGGTTGTTGCACAGAAAAAATTATTTACTTTTGATATGCTAATTCCTTTTTACGCAACTAGCATGCACCAGTTGGTTGTGTAGTCTCATAAATTCCATTATATGAATATTTTACGCTTGTTTTCTTCTGCAAACTGAACTGACCGGAATTTTCTCCATCTAATAGTTTTGTATCAGTTATAATTGACAGAATTCTACAAAATCTCAAAATCTGGTATCATGAATTTGAGCAATACATTCCTAATTACTATTTTGTTTTTGTTTGCAAAATAAGCTCTAAATGAAACGAAGTAAAATAAAATAAAATAATTTTTTTCTAATAGTATTTCAAAGCTTCACAAGACATTTGTGTCCAAAAAATACACTTAAATATTTCAGAAAAATCAAAGAAATTAAATTTAGAATTATTCATATAAAATATATTTATTAAAAGTATTTCAAGAAATATATTTTCAAATCATGATTAGATATTCAGAACTGTTTTCAGGGGGGAAAATAATGTGCAAAAATATTCTGCAAAAGCAATATAGATTTTTTTTTTTTTTTTTTTTAATATTGCAGTAAATAATCTTTAGTGAAATGCTTGTAATGTTATAACATAATCTACATTTAAATACTTATTAAGAATAATTACACTTTTTAAGAAACTTTTCTCATGATTTGCTTTTCTGGATCACTGTGAAGGAAATTAGTTCGTTATTCACTAAATGTAAGTACAAAAGCTTTTACTAGTCAAATATATTTCGTGTGGTAATCAAATGCATATCAAGATTATTTAAAAATGTTTCATGTAATTGAATAATTGAACTGATAATATTTGTAATAATTATAGACTCAAAAATGTTTTCTGCCCCTTAAAATGTATAACATTTCTGATAAAAAAAAGCTTTTTTAAGTCTTTAAGATAGATTTTATTACTGATTTAATTAACGTATTTTTGTTCCCGTATATAGTTTACAATTTTCAGTTTCAGGTTTTGAAGTCAGAAAATTCATAGGCATGGTAAACGCAATCTGTGTTATAAAATTGTCTGTCCTGCAAATATTTTAAACAAGACTAGATCATTATCATTTTGATTACCTACATTAATTCAAATTAACTTATTAAACTTATTAATAGTTTTAAATTCATAAGTTTAACAACTTTTCTTATATGTATTTGAGCAAAAATTATTTGTAATCGCAGCCAACTCTGTTTTTTTCTAAAGGTATGATCTTTCTTGATAAATTTATTTAAATTTTTTTCATAGCCCTGCCTTATTAGTTATAGAATTTTTAATCTGAAAAAAATTTGCATTATCAAGAATACTGTATAATTATTTTAAAGCATATGGCACATATTTTCCCTCGGTGTGACTAAAACATCTCGAAGCTAATAATTAAGACAGTGAAGTACCTGTATAACGAACACCAATTTATTAATGAAATAACACACACCCCAAAAAATAAAAGTAAGTGAATTTTTAAGCTACCTTGCTCGCGCGAAGATTTCAAGTCCTAAGTTTGCTTTGTCAAATGACTTGTAAAAATGAAAATAATCATAAATAAATAATAGTCATAAATCATAAATAGTCATAAGTAAAACTTACATTTTAAACGTTCATGCTTTAAATCGCGATTTTGGCAATCATAAAATGATGAGTTCAGATTAATGTAATTTTATATCTTTCAGGTTTCTTTCTCTGAAAACGATGGTACAAAGAAAAATCTCTATATAATTTCACAAAAGAAAATTTGAGTCTCTTAAATGTATTGTTGCGTGCGTACGGATTCGTAATAAACTGAATGCACAAGTCCGATAATAGGTTAATAAAAATTTACTTTTTTGGAAAGAAATATTTAAGAGCTAGGGAATTTTTCACAGAAATATTCGTAAAATTGTTCACACTACCACCCAATGCAATCAGCATTTGCACTTCAAACTACTAATAGCGTTAAACACAAAGCACTGCAAAGCGCATCTAAAGAGAAAGCTAATCTGATTTCACGCTGAACTCGCAACAATAACAACAGAAGTTAACTAAACATCTGAGAGCAGATGCTCTCCTTTCGGCCTTAAATAGTTTTCAACTGGCCACGTGATATTTCTGGTACTTTCTGATTTCCGAATTTACTGGAAAGCAATACGAGGGTAGAAATACGGTTGCAGCTAACACAGTTGTCAATTACATTTATTCAATATAAATGCACATGTCCCTGTATTCTAAATTTTCCAGCATAGATTTCTCTTAAAATTTGTCTCGCGCTACATTACACAGAAAAACTCAACTATTTTACTTATAATTCTGCTACAATTAGATAAGCACAAAATTCGTAACATTATGTTTAAAAGGGTATGCTTAATTAATGAATGCAATGAATGGGACAATGCAAGAATGAATTGCAATTTTGGTTTGATTTAATGTTGTAAGGATATAATATTTCTAGAAGCAGGTTTGGCAAGCTTTGTCGAAGACGAAAAACTTAACGTTGACGTAATAATTAATCAAGAGTTAAGTAAGTTACTTTAAAGAAGAAAGAACATTCGTTGCGTAAATTAAATTTACCTGGATTTAATTTACTTAATTCAAGATGCAATTAAGACCATGCTTTGAATTCCTTATTATTCTTCAATATCTATGAAGAAAATAAAAGAAAAAAAATGAAATGAAAAGGAATCTCTAAGCGGACATTTTGCGAAGCAATCAGAGGACCATAAAAGAATTCACTTTCACGTGCAGAACAGTAATAAACTAAATAATTTCGTCTGTCCTCTTAAAATGTTGTTCATTTAGTTATAATGTACATGTAAGGTAATTCGAGACAAAAGGAAATAAAATGAAAAGAGAGAAAATAATTAAGTTCAATGAAACACTAATCAGTCATCGGTTATCTTACAAAGTAATTGCATTATACTTCTCATTGTTTTGCAAATACGTGTAAATAAGTGTATTTAAATTTAGAACATTTGAAGTGCATTCCAGCAATATGGTCTGCTATCCCAGTAAAGTATTAGAAGACTCATATAAAAAAAACGTTTGCTGCTGTTTTTATAAATATGAAAGAAAACATGCCTTTCTTTACATGACCCTAAGAGACTGCATTTGTGTAATAAGCAGAGTATTAAACACTTCTTTCCTCGATTTCAAAACTCGACCTTGACGCAAACAATACATGTAACAAGCAGATTGTTTTTGTAAAGCAAATATTTCCATTCACGTCAAGGAGCAAAGGAAATATTGCGACTGAGATCAGTATTTTCTGAATAAATAACGGCATTTACTTTGACTTTTGTTTGGATATTTTGTTCGGTATTTAATAAAGGAGTGCGTTTAATAGTCATTTAAGATATTAGGCCTTATTAGTTTTACTTTCTTATACGTCTTAGAGTAGGAGTACTGTAGTGTACTGTCTTAGAGGAAGTACTGTAATCGAGAGAAATTTCGAGTATCGTATTTCAACGAAACTATCCATTTTTACTGTTCACGAATCCCTTTGAACGATGCTTTTGCGTGCCATCTGTACGTACGGAAAGAATAAAGGACTCATTTATTCTTTCCGTACGTTCGTCCTTTTTCCAAAGCTGATCTTAAAATTGTTTTAGAACTGATTCAGAAGAGATTTTTTTCGTTCCGTCTGTCCGTACATACGCACATATGTATCTCACATAACTAAAATAATATACATAATAAAACGAATAGCCTGAAAACCTTGGACACTTTATATATCGGACTCGTAAAACATGTAGTTGGGCATCTCTCTTTTTGGTCGCAGCAAACATATTAAAATACATATGTAAACAAACTGAGCAGTACTGGTGCAGGAACACTGGGGCGTAGAAACGCAGAAATTCTGACGACGAAGCACGTGGATGTCATATTGAAGAGCAAGAATTTTGACTGCGTATAATGCTAATCCATAATGATTAGAAAAATTAGCAGTCGGGGCGGATTATATTCCATTTTTATTTAAATTCACTTACCACATTTTACTTGGTATTCTAACCGTACCTACTTCCATAATATTTAAATTTTTTAATAATGTTGCTATAGGAAGACATCACAGATAAATGGCATGCAAGCAGCAACAGAGACACAAGCGAAGTGCGCATTCATCTAATATGGATATTGCCAAGAGAAATGTTTTGGTCTAGGTTAGAAAAGTTTTCATTATTTAAATTCATTTATTTCATTCCATTCATTAAAAGTTTTCATTCAGTCCAGAACTGTTATTGTTACTTTTAAAATAAAGAGGTAATAAATGAATTAAAAAAGAGGAATTAAAAGACTATTATTAGATCAAATTATAGAGCTGACCTACATATTTTATCTTACATATGTGTCACATATGTGTGTAGTATGTAACCAAATACAAATTAACTGAGGAAAGAAGAATTATGTTACTCGGATCTCTGAGCTCAATATTTATATTCTTATATGTTGATCAATTGTGTATTTTTGCTTTAAAATTAATTGAATTGTGTTAGTTTTATGATCCGGTTAAGATTTTCATACCTTTAGTTAATTTGCATCCAATGTTTGTAGAATTATCAGCAATTTAAAAGTTGTTTAAACGCCACTAAGCCTAAAAATGCAGCCATTTGCTTACATTCCAAACTCTTACTAGAATAGTGAATTTTATCAGTTTGTGCACCAAATTAAGTGTCTTTTTGATGCTTGGGATCAAAAGTAAACTTTAGCTTTGTGCACTTCTTGCCTTCTGACCGAATTGCTTGTTTTTCCATTTAAATTCTGGTTTAACTGTATTTTTTAACTGTTTTTAACTGTATTGGTTTTTATGTTTTTCTGTATTTTAGAAATTTTAATGAAGATGCTTTG